GACATAGAGGAGTTAGAAATGATGGACCTGACGCATATGGATGATGATGTGAGGGTAGTTAGGAAGGCCCTGCTAGGGGTTATAGAAATGCAGGAACACCAAACTACCATCCTTCAGGACATTCAACAGAGCCTGGCCATTCTGTCAGGCCGTGCTCAGGCAACACCATCACCAGCCGGGCCTGGTGCCTGGCCCGTGCCATATCCTCCCTTCTCTGTCCCACCGGTGACTGGGGTATCCCCATATGACTGTTCGGGCTCATCCCAGTGGCGCTGTGTACTGCATTGTTATACAGACTGGCGACGAGAGCCAGCTTCTCATCCCAGTCCACCTGGTTGGGCCTGATATAGTGCCTCAACAGGTGTTGTACAGCGCGGTTCAGTTGTTCAGCCTGGCCGTTAGCTTCTGGGTGATTCCCAGAAGTCATTTGCAACTGTATGCCCTGCTCTGTAGCAGCAGCCTTCCACAACTCGCTTGTAAAACTCACATCCCTGTCACTAACAATGGACTTCGGTAGACCAAAGTCCCTGACCCAGTTCTCTTTAAACATTCTAATCATGTACTCCGTCTTTGCTGTTTCCGGCATAGCTACTAACCTAGCATACTTACTAAATCTATCCACGATGATGAAGATGTGACGCATTCCATTCTTGTTGGTGATCAGAGTATACATGAAATCCATGGACAGACTCTCACCAGGCCATTCCGGAATTGGAAGGGGCTTCAGAAGCCCAAGAGGAGCCTGAATACGTGGTTTGTCCCGTTGACAAACTTGACAAGTCTCCACGTACAGCTATGCATCTCGCAGCATCGTGGGCCACCAGAATCGCTGCAGCAAGTTGGCTGCGGTCTTCTTATATCCGAAATGACCGGTGGCATCATGACACTCACCTTAAAACAAACTACGCAAAGATTCACTATTGGGAACACACAATCGTTTATTCCCTGCCTTCTCAAGGAACAGCAAGCCATTAACCAACTCAAACTCGGCGGACATCTTCTTGTCCTTCGCCTCAAGTCTGCGTAGGATCTCGGACATAAACTGGTCCTCGCGATAGGCTTCCACCAAAGATTGAGTAACATTGTCCGTAAGACTGAACTCAGTAATCAGCGCACCTGAGAAGTCTGGTCTGCGCGATAGGGCGTCAGCAACCTTGTTATACTCCCCTTTGAGATACTGAGAGCGTCAGAGAGTACCGACTGGGTTTTCATCCATTTCAGGGTCTGATGATCAGTCCTGAGGATGAAGAACCTCCCAAGGAGATAGTGTCTCCAATGGGTAAGAGCCTTGTACACTGCATAGAGTTCCTTCTCATAAGTGGACCTAGCCAACTTCGGAGACGACATTTTCTTAGACATGTACTCAACTGGCCTCAACTTTGGCCCCTCCTGCTGCGCGAGCACGGTGCCAATGCCGTATTGGCTGGCATCCGTGGTAACTATGAACGGCTTGTCAGGATCAGGAAGTTTTAAGACTTCATAGTGAGTTAATGCATGCTTCAGATGTCTGAAAGCAGCCTCACACTTTTCTGTCCACTCCCATGGGGTGTCAAGGCGGGTCAGATCAGTCAAAGGAGCGGCCACTATGCTATAGTTCTTCACGAAAGTTCTATAGTAGCCTTTCATTCCTAAGAAAGATCTCATCTCAGTCACAGACTGAGGACGTGGCCAATCACGAATGCTGGCCACCTTCGCTTCATCGGGCTTCAACCATTCCGCGGAGATCTCATGACCCAAGTACAAGACACGGGTGCGGCCAAACTCACACTTCTCACCGTTGATCTTGAACTTGTGTTGTCGCAGGAGACCGAGGACTTTGTCCAAGTGTGCAACATGTTCCTCGACAGTCTTACTAAAAATAAGTATGTCATCGAGGTACACGATGACAAACTTATCCAAGTAGTCATGAAATATCTGATTCATAGCGTGCTGAAAGGTGCCAGGAGCATTACAAAGGCCAAAAGGCATCACCACAAACTCGTACAGACCGTACCTAGTCTGAAAAGCGGTTTTATGTTGATCCTCGGGCCAAATTGCAATCTGATGGTACCCAGACTTCAGATCTATCTTGCTGAAGTACCGACACCCTTGCACTCCATCTAACAGATCGTCGATGCGCGGTAGGGGCTCTCTGTTCTTCACAGTGATGGCATTGAGGCCCCTATAGTCAATGCACATTCTGAGAGTGCCCTCCTTTTTCTTAGGTACGAATAGTACTGGAGATCCGTAAGGAGAGACACTCGGCCGGATCCAACCCTTCTCCTCGAGTTCCTTGAGTTGGCGGCGAAGCTCATCAAGCTCGCCTGGAGACATCCGATAGATCCTACCCTTCGGAATACTAGACCCTGGGATAATCTCTATCGCGTGGACGACCTCCCTATCAACAACCCCTGTTGGCTCTTCAAATAGATCAGGGTACTTGGCAACTACTCCCTCTATCTCCGGCGACATTTTCACCGGCTCGCCTGCAACAGAGACATAA